CGAGGGAATGGCAGACACGTCTGCGACTATCCAGGATGCTTGAAAGAATTCACCAGAGCTGACCACCTGGCCAGGCATCAATTAAATCGTATGTTTGCCGACATCGTGGTTCTGAAATCTTCATGTCAAGCTCGGGAACCCAGTTTCCGCCGTGACGCTTCAGCGTCTCGAATGCGATCTCAGCTGACCCCATTTTCTTGAAAACAGACACTCAGGCCACGGTACATGCGTGCAAACAGTGCGATCGCACATTTGTGCGGACCGACCTCCTCTTGAGGCATAGTCAGCGACATCTGGCTAAAGATCAAGCATCAGAGAAGTCGCCGCGATCCGTCAGATACCAGCCATCCGAGCCCAGTCCTACGATCCTCGCCAATCATGTGGACATGCAGCAGACACCCCTTGATTCATTGCGCGACTCCCCGATACCCTTACCCGCATCGCATCTATACCCTCCTCCACGTCCACTAACCCAACCACCATTGTCTGCATCAAGCCATCATCATCCTCTCAGCCATCGGCGCGCTCATTCAAAAGTTACTTCCATACCGCCACCTCTCCACATCACTACTTTCGTGACGAATCGACCACCCTCATCAGCATCCTCAAGCGAGGCAAATATGTATACCCACAATCTTTCCCAAATGGGCATCGAAAGCCCTTCATTGCACGCATCGTCCATCCCATCTGCCCTCATGTCTGTCGACGCGAGATACGGAGGGCCCACTGTCACAGGTAATATGGGCAGGTTGCCGTCCGATTCCGTCTTTAGCATGTGTTCCAGCTTTTCCGCACTCCTCTCAGCATCGTTGTCAGATTCTGAGGACGCGTCACCTCAGCAACTTGGACGTCATTCGATTGAACATTACAGTCAAATAGCTCCGAATCTTGTTCCTGCACTCCCGCAAACAGGCTTGTCCCTTCTTTCCGCAGCTAGCAGCTTAAGCAAAAATCAGGTTACCAGCTCGCCACAAACACATCCGTTCGTCAGTCCCGCTTTCGATTTTCCGGCCGGCACGATTGCCAGGAACTACGACTGGCTCCTCGACGGTAATTCTGTCCTTAACTCACAATATGACCTCAGGCATTGGGCCTCTTCCACTTTCGATGGCACTTCGGTGAGGTTCGACCTGACGATGACCATGCCATCTGACCCTGCTACGCCCGTCGTCGGTCATCGCCATCCACCGGCGGAAATCTCATACGATGTCTTTTTGGAAACGGTGCCGCAACAACTCCAGGGCGTGATAGATGATGTCACTCATGGAAAAGTAATCGACATTCTTCGAGCAAGTGCTTTTTGGCAGACTATATCATTGCGGCATATGCAGTTATACGTCGATCTCTACTGGAATTGTTTTCACAAACATTACCCGATTCTTCACCGCCCTACCTTCAATTCCAATGAAACGCCTTCACCAGTGATTCTCAGCGTGATTCTCATCGGCACTTTCTATTCGAAAGATTCCTCCGCGTTCGACTTTGCCGTCGCAAGCAACGACAGGCTTAGAGCGGTTATGTTGGACAGCGATTCTTTTGGCGCACAAAAACCGCCCTGGGTCCTACAGACCATGATTCTCACCGAGATGTTTGGGAAAATGATGTCTACACGGCCACAGCACGATATGGCACACATCTTTCATGGGTCGCTCATCACGATGGCTAGGAGAAGCTGCATATTCACTCCGGCAACGATGATGCAAACTCTCGCTAGTCAACGTGAGTCGCTCGAAGCCAGGTGGAGAGCGTGGATTCGAACAGAGCAGCTCAAGCGTCTCGGACTTTTCGCGTTCATGTGCGACACGCTGCACGCGGCTATATTTGGGCAAACCGCGCTCATGTCCGCGTTCGAGTTGCACCTCTCTCTTCCCGCGAACGAAGAAATCTGGGAGGCACCAACGGCGGAACAATGGGTCTCGCAATGCAAGGGGAAAGTAGCACTCGGCGATATCCTGGATGTTGATAGCCTCCATACGCCAAAGTTTCTCGATATCCTGAAATGGAGTTTCTTTCCAAGGGGTATTCTCCCATCTCTTAATCCATTCTCCAAATTGGTCGTGCTGCATGGGCTGTTGAACGTTTGCTGGGACGTTCAGTGGCGAAATCAGGCTGTTGCGGGTTTCATAGGTAGGGAGAAGACTTTTGCGGGCTACTTTGGTATGTTGCCTGATAACCTTTGAAGGAGAGAATCTAATCACGCGTTTTTTTTTGTGAACTTGCGCAGAATCAAATGCTCCCGACCCTGCAAGTGTCCGCATCAAAGAGCTGCTCCCTAGGGCGCTCGACACTTGGATGGCGCGTCTTGAATCGAGATCTCAATACGACCCGACCTCGGCGATGCACCTGACAGTTTGGTCGTCCGCGTCGCTGCACTATGTAGCGTTTCTGGCTCTTACGACGGACCTGACCGATCTGCAGATCTATGCAGTGATGAAATCAAACATGGGTCATCGAATCCAGGGCGCTGACCGGGAGCGCGCGGCTGTGAACATGCAGTCATGGGCTGCAACCAACCCGAAAGGTGGACGTGTTGCCACTTGGCATGCGGTCAAATTCCTCAGGGCTTGCATTCTGAAGGCTATGCCTGCGATTTCTCCCGCGTTATCCAGTATGGCCGACACCAGGGTCTCCAATATGGTCAGTGACAGCATGTTGGCGGGAAACGACGCGCTGATCTCGGCGCCAAACGCACCACATCATGCGCGATGTGTGTATCTCGCGCTCCTTACAAAGTGGGCTTATACGCACGCAGTGGGCCGCGCCGTCAACAGAGCCCACCATCATCAGCAACCACATCACCTACCTGGCAACGACTCCACAGCTGGCGCGTGGCGATGGGATGAGGCTGTCAGTTACTGCGATTTGATTTTAGCGACACGACTTGACGATCTACCGCGGGTTCTGGATCGGGAGTTGACCATTGGCCTGCTGCGCGCGTTCGCCCAAGGTTTGGAAGAATCTCGATGGGAAATCTGTAAGCGTCTTCTTTTGTTTTCTCGTTTTAGCATCTCTGCAGATATTGACCATTTTTCGGCTTCTCAGCGCGAGAAAGTGCCGCAATTCTATATCGCCTGCCAATGTGATCAGGGGATCGTCTTTCAGCGGAGGGAGATGTCACATACAATTCGATATCGCATGCCAATGTGCACAATGTGAACCGCTTGTAAATACAATGACGATGAGAAAACATGTACATAAATATTATGCTATGGTGTTGTCTACTGCAATCGCATCCTCTATGTCTATATGCTTTGATGCACAAGTTTCTATTGAGCGGTGTTCATCACAATACGATACTTGACGTCTCCCTTGCGGACCCTCTCGATGGCAGCGTTGCACTGGGACAGGGGCATGACATCGGTCATGGGTCGCACATTGTGCTCCGCAGCGAAGGCCAACATAGCCTTCATTTCAGAGATGCTTCCGATAAGGGAGCCAACGATTCCAACCTGGGTGAACGCGAGCGCGTGGGGAACCAGTGAAATGTTCTCCTCGGGCAGGGCGACGATGATCACCTTGCCGTTCGGCTTCAGCATCCCGAGGTACAGGTTCCAGTCTTGGCCGTGACCGTTTCCGGTGACAAGGATCACGTCCAACGAGCGGGGGTGATTGGGAACGTCGTCCCCGGTCACGAACTTGGTGGCGCCGAGCTTCTCAGCGTCGGCCTGCTTTTTGGGCGAGTGGGAAATGGCGGTCACGGTTGCGCCCATTTTGGCCGCAAACTGAATGGCCAGATGACCCAAGCCTCCAATGCCAACCACTCCGATTTCGGTGCCAGCACCGATCTTCTCTCGAGCAAGTGGCGCAAACACGGTCAGACCAGCGCACAGAAGCGGCGCGGCAGAGACAGAGTCAATGGCATCCGGGATGGGGAAGGCAAGCTGGTGTCTGACGCGAATCCTGTCGGCATATCCGCCGTGGGTGATAGTGCCATCGGGCCTCTTGCTGTTGTAAGTCCACCACATCTTGGGGCAGAGCTGCTCGAAACCACTGTTGCACTCCCGGCATTCCTTTTCCAGGCACGCCCACTGCTGAGCTCCAACTCCGACACGCGTTCCGATGGTGATGCCGGTGACATTGTCGCCAGCGGCCACGCAAGTTCCAACAATTTCGTGGCCGACAATCAAGGGGAAGTTGCCGCCGCTCCAGCCGCCGCAAGAGTCGATCGTGTGGATATCGCTTCCTGTCAGCCGTAGAGAAAGCGTCAATAATGCGGTCACATACAGTTATGAAATCATGCGTGTTGGGTTCCTTACCACAGATTCCAGAGTGTGTGATGGCGATCTCGATGTCTTCGGGCCCAAGGGGATTAGGAGTGTACGAGAAAGGCTTGAGGGTTTCGCCGGGGCCGTAGGCGGCGTGTCCATGGATTTGTTCGTCGACAGTCATGATGATGTGTTTATAGGTGGGATGTGCTAACGCGAGTGTGGGGGGGATCTCTGACCAGAAGCGGTCTTTATACACGCCGCGCTGCGGCTCTCTAATAATGTTGTGCATTTGTAATCGCTTTGCCATTTACGCGTTGGATGGTTTGGGCGCATCGGCTATTTCCTCCGCCCGCATCCCGACGATTCAGCGGCAGTGAAACTTTAAGCAAAATGGAATAAGAGGCCAATACCGAGTCGCACAGGGCGCTTTAGACTATTCCTTTTGGGTCGTACTAGGCAATTGGAACGCAGCACAAGACAAGTGAGGCTTGTGAGGATGGGTTACGAAGTTGCCGTTTGTCACCAAGAGCGGCGTACAAAGTACTACAAACTGCGCCCGGATCTTCCGAGTTCACTCCAGTGTATTACAATACGCCGGTCTATATTTAGTAGGATATCGTTTGTCGTAAGGCCACCACTGCGTTCTGTGAAGTCGACGAGAGGTTGAGGGGATTATGACATGCCGTCCCGATGTCTCGACCGCGAAGGCACTAGGCAAACAGCACCTGAAAACGTCTGGGGTATCGATAGTCGCGTACCCAGAACGGCAGAAAAAATATTTACATACACTGCAGATCCCACTGAGATTCGAACTCAGGCTACCAGAGTCAAAACCTGGGGTCCTAACCACTAGACTATGGGATGGACGAGCGAGCGCTCGCCATGCAAAACTCTACTTGCAACATTGTGAGACGCACTGACACAAAAGCTTCCTCCTTTCGTCGTTGCGTTAAAGAGACGGATCTGGGGCATCGTTGCTTTTTCGTCTGTCAGTTCGTGGTAGAACGGTGCCCGCGATTTGATCAACTCGCGCGGTGGAGTGCAGTCCATCATGATTTCCTTGTGCCTAGAACCTTGGGAAAAGCAGCTTTCACAATGTTGACTCATCCGCCGCATGGATTGGAGGGAACCTCAATAGCTTCGCAAATGTGGCTCTCACAAGCCTGGGGGGGGGGGGGCACGGTGCAAAGATCATCCATATTGCGTGGAATCGGGCAACGCAAATGACATGATTGTGAGGTTGTAACACCAGCTTGTGTCATAACACCAGCAGTTTCATGTCATATTGGCGTTCCTTTGAGATTCCTGATCAAATCCAACATGTCATTGGCGGATCGGCTTAATAGTGCGGAGACATTGTCTGAGATCCCCAATCCGACCGTCTGCTAGCTGTGACAATCATTAGGCGGGTTCCCACCGTAACAACGTCATGTTTGCCCAATTAGAAAATCAACTTCGGATGGCTTTTCGAAAGGTGAAATCAGTAGGCAGCAGGTTCATGCCAAAGTCCCAAGGAGCAGGTGTCTCATGCCTTCCGCCCCCCTCGACCCTGTAGCACGCCGCATCATTCAAAGACTGGATCTCTCTTCTTCTCCTGGTATCAGCATGTCTGCTTCCCAGTGCAGATGCTATTGGATTCTGCGTGACTACAATGACGAGCGACACGACCTGCGCGACGGTGTGCAGCGCCAGTACGAGTCTCACGACCTACATTCCAGGTGCCAGTGTCGGCGCCAATAGTACTATTCTGTTTGATCGAACGTCGGCGGCGGGAGAGGCCTGCTGTTGCGAGGCGAGGACGTTCCCTGCTGCTTTCCTCCGACCCCAGCGATCGAACGTTTTATTCTCGTCCTTGTCGATCACCTTAGGCGATCGGATCTGGAAGTCCGCTGAAGGAGGTATTGCAACAGATTCACAGAACAAGTGACCTGGTTGCTCACCATCTGGTGACTATAGAGAGAATCATCCCAAACGTCCGCGCTGTAGACTACGCAAACAAAACGTTCTCCCTCAACTGCCTTTATACCGGATGGATTGCTTCGTCCATACAATGCGTACGACCCGGCAACACATTCCCTCCCATCCCTTCGATCAAGGCCGGTTCCATTGCTCTGGTCGGAGACTCCATCACGCGTGTAAGAAGCGTAACAACTTACTTCTCAATATCCGCTTAGGATGTGGCTGACTCTGTCATGTGTTCTTTAGTACGCCGAAGCCCGCTCCCTCGCGGGCTGGGCAGTCAACCTTCGAGCAGCATATAAGGGCAAATATGACGTTATCAACGAAGGCAACCCTGGTTGGACAACCACCGACTATTTGGCTGAACTCGGCCCGGTCCTCAAACGATATGTCTCACCAACGCTTATCACTCTCCTGCTGGGAACCAAGTAAGTCCGCCCAAAGTTTGCAACGCAAAATGTGTGATCTCCCGACCATTCTCCCCTCGTGCAGCGACGACGTGCAAAACTGGCCACTGGAGACCTACCGCGCGAACCTATACAAAATGGTCGCAACCGTCAAGTCCCTCCATCCTACAGCACGCTTCCTGCTGATGACCCCTCCTCCTCCACTCGCCTCCTTTGACCCAGCCAAAATGAACACATTCCGTCAAGCCATGCTTGATGTCGCCGTTGGGACCAACACCAATGTGCTAGACACCTGGAAAGTATTCCTTGGTCCGACAGCCGCCTATAACGGAACCACCATGAGCTTCTATTTGGGAGACTTTGTGCATTTGAACCGCAATGGAAATGTGAAATTGTTGCAAGGACTGACGGAGTACATCGAGACAACTTGGCCTGAGATTTCGCCATGAGTAACGACGTGGAGACATACAAGGAGTTTACATTGGCGTACCGGTAGTCAACGGCGCGTTTCGCCGTGGCTTTTTTGGCCTCCGCTCTCCCCCGGCGTTTGCGCCACCGTATTCATAGAAAGACCCCCGCTCTCTGCTTTCCGTCGCTCTGACGCTTCGTGAGAGATATTTCATTCAAGTTGCATTCTTCACTCATCCCCCACCAGCAACCTGCAACAATGTCTTCCTCCCCCCTCCGCACTCCCGCCGACGCGCCTGCCCTCCCATTCTCCCTGCATGTCGCCGGCCACTGCACCGTGATGGAACGAGCCATGTTCAAAGGCGGCTCGTACTCGCACGTTGAGGTGCCGTCCTTGTTTGCTCTGATCAAGCATCCCAAGCACGGATATTGCTTGTACGACACGGGCTACTCGCAGGAAAACTTTCGTCAGACCGAAAAGTGGCCTGGGTCGGTGTACGGGTTCCTAGTGCCGATAACTTGCAACAAAGGGGATTCAGCAAAAGAACAAATTGAAAAGGTCGGCGTCAAGGCTAAAGAAATCAACTATATCCGTGAGTGGTTTAATGTTGAGTGATCTTTGAAAAGGAGTGAGATACCGAGCTTTCACTGAGGCCTTGCTATTCTAGTGATCTCGCACTTCCACGGTGATCACATTGGGGGATTGAAGGACTTTCCTAACGCGAAATTTGTATACTTCCGAGAATCACTCACCAAACTCGAGCGCATCGCACCGCTCCGTCAAACTTTGCACGGTTTCCTGCCCGGATTGATGCCCGATGACTTCCACCAACGCGCCATCGCATTGGAATTCCCCGAAACGCCTGCCGATGAAGCACTCCAACCTTCGACTGCCATTGGGACTCTTGTCGCGACTCCCGCTCCTTATGAACCGCTCGGTCCCGCTTGCATCGATTTGTTCGACGATGGTTCCATGCTGATTGTCTCGCTGCCAGGACACTGCACCGGTCAGATGGGCCTCATTGTACGCAACGCTCAGACTGATGTCGCAGGCGCGAAAAGAGGATCGGCTCAGTCGGCAAGTTTCCTTATGGTCGGTGACGCCTGCTGGGACTCTGTCACAATCGATACCCTCGCCTACCCCCACGAGATCACGTTCTGGGTCGTCCACATTGATCGCCCGGCATATTACCGGACAATCCAGAACCTAAACACTGTATCAAAGAGCGGAACCGTCAACATTGTGCCCGCTCACTGCAGGAAACTCGCGCGCACACTGCTTTCATCTCCTTGGCATGCTGGCCACCCGGCAAAATTGTAAATCGTTGAGAAGCCGGTGGTCGAGACTTCTGCGATTAGAATCTGTAATAGCAACCACATAGACACACTTTTGGAGACTGCACACTTTTGCATAGCACGATTAATATTATACCTCATTCCTCGACGACTAGCTCAGTGGTGGATTACTTATTGAGCGCAATTTGGCTGCCATATGTGTAGAAAAGGTGTCTGATGGAATGATATTATGATAAAGATACATAGATAAATACAATGATTGTATGGGATTGAGCGACTACAGGGTGTCAATTGCCAATCTTAGGCCTTCTTCGATAGAGACGCGAGGTTTGTAGTTCAAATCTTTCTTGGCAGCCTCAATGTTCAAGGTAAGCGAGCGACCCAGCACACATGCCACATAACGTGTCAATGTGGGTTCGTTACGAAGACGGAACACTCTCCAGAGAATCTCCATAAGTCGTCCAACACAGAATGCTACCCAAAACGGAACGTATCGCTTTTTCGGGCGCAGGCCGATGCGCTCCCCGATGCGGTCCAAAAGTGATACGACTCTTATTGGCTCTCCGTTTGTGATATTGTAGATTTTGCCTAAACATATGAATGTGAGATTCCGGATCTTTCGTCAGATTGCAGAAACACACATAAGAAACGTACCATTGACAGCATCGTCCCCAACTGTGGCGGCACACAGCAGAGAGTCGACCACGTTGCCAACAAATGTGATGTCGGTATACCCTTTGCCGCCGGCGACGAGAGGCAAGCTCCCTCCACGCATTCTGCTAACGAAGCGGGGGATCAGAGTCGTGTCTCCGGGACCAATGAGACCGCGAGGGCGGATGATGGCGGCTTTGTTCAACCCTTTGGACTTGAGCGCACTCAGGACAGCGTGCTCAGACATCTGAGGAGTGGTACGGCGTTGGAGTCGGCCATGAGAATCAATGACGATCAAACCAACTGTCAAGAGTTTCCATCACCCACCAGTTTTGTGCGAGAGTAGAAGTTGATTTGCTGCTTTAACGGCATCGCCTGATCTTCAGTCAGATCCAGCCGGCTTCTCGTGCTCGTGTACACACTCGGGGTCGACACATGGACGAGCATGGCCACATTGTTGGCGATGCAAGCGTGGACGACATTCTCGGTGGCCGTGACGTTGGCGGCAACAAATTCTTCCCAACGACCCACAATCTCGCACTTGGCCGCACAGTGGAAGACTATTTCGGCTTGTCCGACTCCCGCTGTGGCCGCTTGTCGGTCCACGAGGTCCACTGCAATGAAAATGGCGCCGGCGTCCGCGAGCTTTTGGCCCTTTGTGCGGTTTCGTCCCAAGGCAACGACTTGAATGTCGGCCGGTGAGCAAGAGCGGGCGGAAGGGCCGATGGGATGGACCAGACCCTCCTCCAGCAGACGATTGACAACAAGACTCCCTAAGCAAAGTTTCCCGAACGAACCCAGTTTGTAACTACGATAATACAATAAACATATCACACTGTGGGTGTTCATTACCTAAGAAACCCGTCGCTCCGGTTACCACCACCCGCATGTTCAAATGGGCACTCCGAGGGATGAGTCTACACGGGGATATGGGGTGGGTGTTTTGACACAATGCCTTTTCGCGAAGAAAGGCAAGCAGTCGTGCTCTTTCGTAGCATCATCATCATCATCATCATCATCATCATGATAACTTGCGGTAGTCTCTCCCGCCCCGCTCCTATGCGACACAAAAAGAGAGCAAAAACACAAAAAAGTTGGGAAAGCCCGTTGTGGCAACTGCGAGCCGGAGCCTTGGATGGGTGA